GAAAAGTAGCGGTATTACTCATTTCTCGTCAAAAAAATTTTTTTTGAACTTGTTCATTCCGCTGGAAATGGACAATGATAGTGCGGTGTTTTCCGCAGAAAACACAGAGAGAGAAGAAGCAATGAAAAAACAGCCTCGCATTATAATCTTCGCCAAAGTGAAAGTAGATTACAAGGATAGCGAACATATTCCGAAACAAGGGTCAGCGACAATTTCCTTCGCTGCCACAGTAACTGAAAGTTTCGGTGATAGAGAACAAACAGAGAAGCCCAACGGCTGCCCTCGTCATCACCTATCGTCATTAAAAACTCTGTCGGAGAGGAGACGATGCCGGAGATGATCTCAAACCGACACACCGCAATAAGCTGCGCTCTAGAAGATTTCAAAGTGATCCATGAAATATTTCAACAACAGATCAGCGTCGCAGAGATGTTGCACTTACAGTGGAACTACATAAAGACTAAGGAGAGTTCCATGCTGGGAACTCCAGCTTCGAAAATCAGGACCACTTCAATAAATGAAGGGCTAGTTGCTGACGAAAGAAGAAATCTCGCGTATGGAAGTTTGCTTGATTTACACGTGCCGATATTACAAGGAAGTGGCACATCTGGGAGAAAGACATGCTGCAAGCTTCAGGGTTTTGCCAACCAATCGATAGGCGACATTTAACATTCAGCAACAACTTTAACTTGCGCAGAAACGTTCGCGTGTGCCAATGAAATGCATTGATTACAGGCATCTTCGCAAACTCCGTGTAAATTGCGTGGACATGCGTTGGCAGGATGTCGCCTTCGCAGCCACCGCTAAGATGTTCGACCTCAGCGGCGTATTCGCCACTATTCTGACAAGACATCCTGCCATAGCTAGCACGCCGTTCTGTATCTTCTGTTCGTTATGAATCGCAAAAGAATGTTATTTCATCCGGTGTTGCGACCAGTTTCTGGAGGGTACCCAATACCAAACTATGTCAATGTTTTAGTCAAAGAATGGAACGAGGGAGGGAGTATGCTGCTTCACCTGAATAAGTACAAGTAACGATTCAGAGAAGTCACTAACGAAATGGAATTTGAGATCAAAAAAGGCTGAAGAAGACTTCAGCAAAGGCTTATGCATACAAAGAGCAGTCCGAAGAAATATCGAGCAAATGCTGGAAAAACAGGAGACTGCAAGTGAACCAGAAAATGTGAACGACGAGATGAATGACGACACTTACTGGTCGCAAACGAGGGCAACGATCGGATTCAAGTCAAAAGGATAACGATCAGAGGAGAGGAAAGCTTCCCGAGCTCTGCTCTCCTCTGATCGTTACCCAGCAGCATCCAGCGACGAACTCAAACAGCATAAGAGGAGGTATTTGAGTTGGAAGAAAATTTGTTATCGATGGAGCGGAATATGAGAACATATGAGAGACGACAGTAAGTCGAAAGGTGAATGAAAATTGTTGATCAATACAATCTGATATAATCGCTCAATATTTTTACATTTGTCCATCTGTTATTTTATTTGACTGTTATATCTTCTTATATCTTCATTGTGTTCTCATTAAATCGTTGTCGCTGGGAGTGAAGGCAATCCGGCCCACTGTCGATCTCGCGCGAGCAGAGCTAGCGTCATTATCGTGCGCAAAATGCTGACATACATATAAGGAAACAGCGCTAACGTGAGAAAAATCTTTCACCATTCTTCGAAGTGTTCGCTCCCTATCTCATTTATCATCCTTTATTCGACACGCTTCACTAATTTGAGGATAAACATTCTTACTCAATAGACAGATTTGAGAGAGTCACGCGTCTTGGGTCGCGTAAGAAAAATTTAACTGCGTGGCAGGGTAACCATTCGCGTACAGCAAAAAAGCCCCCTCAGATACACTTGACGCCGCGCGTTAGTGGCACTTTGAACGCAATCAAGACACTCTTTGAACTCTTTCTCTTTCTAAAGCGAATAGTGGCTTGATCAAGGTCGGAATGTTTACGATAATATTTACCTCAAACGATCATGGTCGTACATGATAAACCAGCTCAAACGAAGTCGAAAGAATTTAGATCGGATTCGGAAGAAGGGACCTTCGAAAACTAGCGAGTCGCAAAGGAGTAATGTTATACTATGGCGAGCGTAGATCGCGTAATTTTTGGAGACAGGCAAAAATTATCCTGGTTGAAGATTGATGCTGGGTCCAAAATATAGCCCTACTCCCGCCCCATCGAATACCACATATTTCGGTTGTTGCAATACTTCATCGAGAAAACGAAAATTTCGAATCTTATGGGGTCCAGTTTTTAGGGACGCGAGGGACGAAAGAAAAAACCACACGAAAGGCAAAAGATGGCACAACAAAACTGGGTATTTATCCTTGCTTAAAGGCACAGTTCACGATAATTTTGGGTAACCCAGATTATGACGAAAAATGGAAGATAAAGGATAAAGGATAAAGTTTTTGGCGTTAATCAATCCCGTCTGAGGGATGCGCCCCCGCACTCGAC